CCCCTCAGTACAGTAGCAACTGGCCAGGACGCCCAGACTCCGAGACGACGACCGATAACCGGATGGTAATCCGAACAGATCGTCCCGTCGTAAATCGTCCCGTACGAATCGCTTCAACATCCAGCAACCGACCTCAGCGAGGTTGATCTGGACTCGGGGCGCACTCGACCAGAGCACAGACCGGGCGCAACCACTCAATTTGCATCACTATTTATCGAGCACACAAAGGCGTTCAACTGCGGCAAGCCGTGTAACTCGCTCGACCACGACACGAACCTCGTGTCAACGGCGACGTGCCCAGCCCACTGCGAATTCAGCGATTGGATTGCATACTTTTGCGACAAGGTGTCTGGTGTCGCCACGTCGACACGAACGATCGCTTGTCAGCCTCTCAACGGCGGAAACTCGTGTCCGAAACTCCATCGCATCCAACACTACGGTCCACGCGTGTGCGAAACTTGCGACTGGACGACGCAAGAGTGCTCGACAGAGACGTGCACGGCTGTCCGCACCCGCGAGCAGCTCTACCCGATCCGTGACCAAGGCAAGCCGTGCAGCCCGTACGAGACGTCGCCGTGCAAGTTGGACGCGGTTCTGTCCCCTGGTCCGAGTGGAGCACTTGCGACACCACGGGCCACAAGACCCACACGCGCGAGATCAAATCTCCAGCGCGTGTAACGGCGACATCTTGGCTGCCCCCAACGTCGAAAAGACCACGGAAGGGTGCGGCAGCATCTTTTGCAACTTGCTCAACAAACTGTGGCCGTCGTACGAGCAAGGTGACGTGTGGGGGCCGTACGACCAAGTGACAGGGACTCAAACACGCCATCGCACGATCATCCGAAGCAGACGGATGGCATGGTGTGTTGGAGTCAACAATCTCGCTCGTGCGCTGTCAAGTGCGCCGTGGATGCGTGACAGCCTTGGTCCAAACGCAACAAATGCACGGGGTCCCAGAACCGCACGCGCAACGTGATCCAGCCCGACCTGAGCGGCGGCGACCAGTGCCCGGACACAAGGAGGTGCGTAACAGCTCCGTCGTGTGGCAAATCTCGATGCCATGTGCATCAAGGTTTGCCATGTTGGGCGACTGATGGCATCATGCTGTGGTAGTAATTTACGTCAACTCGTCGCGGGATCTGAGCCGCTCTATCATACATCGCTCGAAGTCACGCGTGATTGCAAGCAAAAACATTCACAGCGTCGAAATTTCCTAAAATTTCAGCCGTCATTGCCCAACCTCAAATTGATTGTCTTGTGGGACCACGACGCGCCGCCCAAGTGCGAGCGCCCGGTTCCTGCACGACGTCGTGAGCCCCCACAACAAGGAAGGGCTCGACCTCCGGCGCGATCTTCACCGCGGCAACATCGCGTGGCCAACAAGCGGGAAGTCGA